CTTGGGGACAACTGCAGTCGTCGGTGCTGTGGCTTGATGTTCGTTGGCTGATTCTGTCCCGTCCGTGCGGCGACTGCTGGTAGAGGCTAGTCCCTCCGAGTTCTTTTCTTTGTGGGAGAGGAACGCTTCTAACAGGCGACGCAGCTCCCGAACGTCATCTTTGACCTCTCAGACCTCCATACTGGTTTCTGCGAGCCTATGCTCCAGTTCATGGAATCTGAAAGACAGTGGCTCCTGTTCCCCCATAACGGTAGGCTCTGATACCAAGATGTTATGGGCCCGAGCGTAGGATTGTGTCACAAGTCGCTCCACCGCAAGAACCTCAGATCTTTCCTTGCCCTTGGACTTGCGTACAGGCCCTATTTTGACTATCTCGTGGGTGATTTGTCCAAGAGATCACCGAACTCTCCTTTACTCTCTTTCTTAACTGAATATTCGATATCYTCATTCAATAATGGCGTYTCCTTAAATAGGAGATTACAAGAGGAGGGTTCCTTGTTGGTTTTGGCTAGGTTAGTCCTAAACGGACTCAAACTCCTACTTCTATTTAAACTACTTTTCTTTTTATGGTACTACAATTCCTTCTAAGAATAGGGGATAAGATAAGGGAGTATGGGATAAGGGATAAGGCGTGTTCTCTTGACGTATCCAGATAAGGGTGGGCCCACCCTATGAGTTGTCGTGTGGGCCCCGCTCTGCTACTGCTGCTGGTGTGCATGCGCACTGCTCATGGTGCCGCCGCCATGCGGTGCCGCGCGGTGCCACTGCTGCGCAGTACGTGTGCGCGGCTCATGGTACCGCTGCCGTGCGATGCCGATCGTGTACGCACTACTGCCTCAACTGCTGTCATATGGTGCGAGTGCTCATAACAAATTATAGTAAATAGTATGTATGACTTTGGTCTCTAAGGAAGCTGGAAGAAGTCTCTGAATGAAATTGCTATCAGTCTACTATTATATAAACAGAAATAGGAATATAATGGCCGCCCATACTCTGGAGTCTAGCCATATAATGCATGCAAATATGGTATACATGGACAGGGCCAATATGTACTGCAGCGCCTGGGTGTATCGGTCGGCTTCTTTTATTTCTGAATGAATGATCGATCATCTTTTCCAAAGGTAACCATGCACATTAATTACAACTTTGCAACTACTGTAGGTACATATAGTTTTTATTTCTTGGTTTTTAGCTATTAATAGTAACCATGATTAAATGTAGGCTTTAGCTACCTATAGACCGGCCCATCTGTAGCCCTGGCCTCTAGCTGGAGTGGAGCATAGTGTAGAGTAGTGATATCAATCAACATATTTACTCGTCATCAATTTGGTTAAACTGTTTCTATATGTGAATCAACACCCCAACAAGGTTCAAAATTATCTATACATTCGATACATCGGTAAAGATGTATTTTTTTCGAATCTAATTCAGAGGGGCTGGCTTAAGGTGTATTCAGCCTATGAATTGATCGAAACCCCGAAACACTCTCTATAACGACATACCAAGAATCCCGTGATACAATATATGAATATATATATATGATGTAATATGTATCGAAATTTTTAACCTTGCACCCAAGCATATGCATTGTTTTATGTTTATCAACTAGTTGTTACATAAATAAATAAATTGGCGGTGGCAAAATCCGTATCCATATTTGATTCTGGCTTAGCTTAATTAGCCAATTAGCCGGTTAGAATTAGAACAAACAATTATTAACGTTTTGATCGCGACAACTACAAGCGCTTTAATTTTAACACCTGTTTGGCACCGGTTGCTGGTTCAGGTTCAAAGGTCTGAAGGGGGTGGGTGACTGGATGTTACATGTTAGAAAATGAAAATAGAAAGCGGGTGCTCCAATTTCCACAGGAAGAGATTCACCATTCATCATTCATCGGTTCGTCTATGGATAACTACAATAGATGCCACGTGGGATATATGTCTCCTATGTGAATGCGACTGATTGTGACCCGAAAGAAATTATGAATGAGAAATGCCCATTGGTTTGACTGACTGGTTTGTGCTGACTGCCACCAAAGTTCATAAGTGATGTGGCCATGGTTATCACGTATCCATCTTCTCTCTCTCTCTCTGAGTACTAATTCCTCTTTCTCTTTGGTATGATTATTAATAAATAAAGATTAAACTACAGACAGAGAGAGAGAGAGAGAGTCAGCAGCAAGGCAACCAGCGAGTCTGCGACAGCAAAGCAAGCCTGTTCTGTTTTTCAATTGATGTATTAATGCATCATATGATGTTCATTTTTGTATAATATTTCATATTAGCCAGTGCCATCTCATTTCTCGACAACAATCAGTTCGGACCAGTAGCCTGCTAGCTGCTGATCTCGCCCTTCAATTCCTTCTTTCTTCTCTTCTGTCTGCCTGTCTATTTCGATTCCTATCTGTAAAAATGAGTTGGTGGTGGGCAGGAGCTATTGGAGCTGCAAAGGCATGCATCCACTCTCTCTCTCTCTCTCTACCCTTTATTATTTCAACATCCTTCTTTATTTATTTGTGGTTGATTTTCTTCTTTATTTTGATTAATTTTATACATAACAGAAGAAATTCGAAGAAGATGTGGTTCCTCTCAAGCACCAGAGCGTAGGACTGATCATCGGCGTGACTGGCGTCGTCGGCAACAGCTTGGCCGAAATCCTCCCACTCTCCGACACCCCAGGCGGCCCATGGAAGGTCTACGGCGTCGCCCGCCGGCCCCGTCCCTCCTGGAATGCCGATCACCCTATCGAATACATTCAATGCGATGTTTCCGACCCCGAAGAAACCCAAAGCAAGCTCTCACCACTCACCGACGTCACCCACATCTTTTACGTTACCTGGACCAATCGCCACACCGAGTCCGCCAATTGCGAAGCCAACGGCGCCATGCTCCGTAACGTTCTCACAGCAGTCATCCCGAACGCTCCAAATCTAAATCATATCTGCCTCCAGACCGGTCTCAAGCACTACGTCGGCCCCTTCGAGTCCTTCGGTAGGATTCAACCCCACGATCCTCCCTTCCACGAGGATCTCCCCAGGTTAAACGTCCCCAATTTCTATTATACTATGGAGGACATCCTCTTGGAAGAGGTGCAGAAGAAGGAAGGGTTGACGTGGTCGATCCACCGTCCCGGGCATATCTTTGGATTCTCTCCTTATAGCTTGATGAACGTAATCGGGACGCTCTGCGTTTATGCGACCATCTGTAAGCACGAGGGTATGCCGCTGAGGTTTCCAGGGACAAGAATTGCTTGGGAGGGTTATTCCGATGCATCGGATGCAGATATGATCGCGGAGCATCAGATATGGGCGTCGGTAGATCCTTACGCGAAGAACGAAGCCTTCAATTGTAGCAACGGAGATGTATTCAAGTGGAAGCATCTGTGGAAGGTGCTGGGGGAGCAGTTCGGGGTGGAGGAATTGATGATGGAGGAGGGCGGACTGAGCTTGGAGGAGATGATGAAGGATAAGGGTCCGGTGTGGGACGAGATTGTGAGGGAGAAGGAATTGGTGCCAACCAAGCTGGAGGAGGTGGGAGTATGGTGGTTCGTGGACGCCATTTTTGGGTTGAAGGAGTCGTACTTGGCTAGCATGAACAAGAGTAAAGAGCATGGCTTCCTGGGGTTCAGAAATTCCACCAATTCCTTTATTTCCTGGATAGACAAGATGAAGTCCTATAAAATTGTGCCTTAATTTCATGGCATTTTTCTTCTTGTTGATTCTTGATTGATTGGCATTTGATTAATCAAAAGAAATGAGGACGAGGCGAGAGAAGGTAATAACTAATAACGATGAAGATGAATGTTTTGCTCTGCTGTCCATACTTCACAAGTATAACGTTGCTGCTGGTGATTTCACATTTCAGTGGAGAATAAAAGCAAGATGCAATTTTATTTTATCTGTGTATGTGTTTAAGTTAAGAAAGAAGCATTTGTTCACTGAACCAAAATTATCGTAAGAAGCATTTCTTGCCATAAAAAAAAAATGTCTCCAAGATCACACAAAGAGGGGATTAATAAGAGAATGAAAAATTAACACCTAAATTGTCTTTTATTTTTGGGTAAATGTAGTAACGTGTAATTTTGGGTTTGTGAAAATTGTCATTATATGTGTAATTTTCTTTATCAATCAACTATATTGAATTCACCTCATCCTAATTTTTTCTATCTGTTTCTGGTATAAAGTTCCTCTTGCTGTTCTTGTCACTCCATCTCTTTACAATCTCATAGCCTGAGAAGACAGTCGTCCCATATGGTCTATAAATAACATTTCTTGTATATTTTCCTGTTTATTTTATTATGGGAAAATTTTCTATCATTACTCTGTATTTTGGCTCAGTGACAATTTAGTCTCCAAACTTTAAAAATATGACAATCTAGTACCTAAACTTTTAAAATTTGATAATCCAGCACTCGAACTTTCAAAATATGACAATCCAGTACCTATTGTTAACCTGTCCGTTAATTAGCTGCTAACTGACATTTGAAAAGTTAAAAATGCCTTTCAAATGCCATCTAATTCTTTTTATCAACCATCCAAACATTGACTAAAAAACTGAACAATCCCAAATTCTAATATCTTCTATTCAAAAAAGTTGGTGACTGTTTAGATTTATCTAAAATTTGGAATTATTCATTTTATTGTCAATGCTTGAATAGTTGATAAGGAGAATTAGATGACATTCTTAGGGCATTTTTGACTTTTCAAATGTCACTTAACGGCTGATTAACGGCAGATACTAGATTGTCACATTTTTAAAGTTCAAGTACTGAATTATCACATTTTGAAAGCCTCAGTATTAAATTATCACATTTAAAGTTCGGAGACCAAATTGTCACTTAAACCAAAGTACAAGGTACTAATCCAAAATTTTCCCTTCTATTATTAATGAAGCTCATGCCTTATAAATAGAAAGTACATTTTTAAATATAGAGTATAATTTTGAAGCATAAGCAGAAGATAATAAGAATAAAAAGGAAAGATACCCAATACAAATTAAGATGAAAAAATGCCAAAACCACTGGTAGCTGAATAGCTGAGTTCGCATAGTCTGTCCCCAGGGGGCAGAAATTTTTCTATCCCATCCAATGAGAGCCGAACACGGGCACCCTCCCCTCTTTCTTTTGAAACTGATGGAATCCTGGCGGCTAACGGCAGTCTGGACTCAGAAACAATTTAAATTTTGTAAACCCGCTATTTTCGCTTTTGTTTCTCCTTGTCTACCTTTTTCATTTCTCCCTCTCCCAGGCCCACCCGCTTTGGTTCCGCTTCTTCTTCCCTCTCTCCTATATGAAATTCGCCTCCCCTCCTCCATTTCTTCCCTCTCACTGGAAAATGACCCATTTTCTAGCAACCCACCGTTGGATCAGAACCCGAGGACTCATGCAATGTACAACTGTACAAGGTGGGGTACTCTGTTAATTCTGAAAGGTGATAGTTCCCACCAACAAGTGTGAACTCTAGACAAAGGATTGCTCTCGATTTGCAACTAGATTTTGATTGTTTTATGAGTTAATGTATAAGAAGGTAAATTTGAACCTGCATTTCGTTATCTCAATGGTTTCTCAATCATAGAGAGAGGTCATATACAGAACACAGAATTGCAGTTTTACTTATATTATAGCAAACCGTATATATATATTGGTAAATCTTTGTATACATAAATGAAAATCCACTTTTACTTATATTTTAAGCTTTTGTTGCTCAAAGCAAAACCATCGCAAACAAACTCTCCAACACGGCAAAACCACCCACAAAACGATTTCTCAAACCATGTCCGACGCTAGTGGGGCCACCGCTGGACCCTCAACTACCACCTGCGTCGGAGCCGGAGCACACAATAGCCCCATTTCTTGGTGACAATACCACGACGATTGGGGAGAGCAACGGGAGACTTAACTGCAGTTACTCCATTCAACAACTTTCATTGGTGTATTCGTCTTCTGTCTGACATTGCTTACTCACCCCTATTCTCGATCTTTTTCTTTGCTTGTCCCCCATTTCTTTGCTTGCTTGCCATTTTTCATCCTTGAGTACTGCTCCCTCCTCAGAGGTCATAACATGAACGGATCTTCTTGCAGAGAACCACCCTGTGTAGAAGAGCCAATGAACAACCCTCCTGGTGACAACGTCCACACCTTGGAAGAGTCTGAGGTGTAGTAGAAGGAAGTGACGTTGTTCCATTCGAGGTGGTAAAGAAGTCGGCCCAGCTAGTCCTGGATGATGTTGAAGTTGCGGCCATTGGGGGCGGCTCGACCCAACACGATGGTTTGTGTTGTGCTGGGCCAAGGGTTCGAGATTCACGGGCCGGTATGGCATGGCATGACTGTTCGTGTTGTGTCGCCCACAGCCTGCTTGCCGACACAGCCCAGCCCATAGCGGGCCACACTCGGCTCCTTTAAAAAGTAGCCCCCCCCCCCCCCCCCCCAATAGCTAGTTTCAACCTTTTGGGGGTTTTTTACATAAATACCCCCTAATAGCTATAAACAGCTATATAGGGGGGTATTTATGTATTTTGCTTATGAAGGAGAGAAAAATGACACAAATGCCCCCCAACAACTATTATATAACTAGTTTAGGGGGGCTTTTTGGGTTTACAATGACCAAAATACCCTTCCCAACAATTAAAAAATAGTTAGTTTTTAGGGTATTTTTGGGCAATTGAATTATTTTCAATTCCTCTAAATAGCCCTATCCTCCACCATTCTTCTCATCTCACCAATTCAACAATCAACATTCAACAATTCTCTTATTAAGTTATTCTCTTAATCTCTTCAGTCTTCATTCCCTCTCTCAGTCTCTCACTCTCTTTGTCTCTCAATCTCTCTCGGTCTCTTATACATTCTCTACAATCTGAGTGAACTTTGATAGTCTCATAGTTTGAATAACTGATTGTCTGATTCTCCAAGTTAGCAATTTGGGAGGCTTGGAGCTTTGGATGTTGTCATGTTGAAAGGCTTTAACTGTTGAAATCAAGTTGGCATTCTGAACCGACAATTTGAAGTAAGTCCAATTAAATTAATTTTATTTTTTAAGAATTTGAAAAAAAAAATGGCCAGCTCTTCCCAGAACCCCAAGTTTAGTAGTCCGATTTGGAGAACATTTAAAATAAAGGATGTTGAGGGAAAGGGAAAAAGAGTAGCTTACCAAAAATGTAGAAAAGACTTCAGCTATTGTAGTAAGGGTGGTATTGGCCATTTGACCAGACATTTTTTCACATGAGAAGGAAGAAAAACTAACCCACAATTTAAATGAATTTTTGAAATAATGGAAAATAAACTTTAAAAATATTGCGAGAAGTTAGTGAACATTTCTCACCGCCAATCCCACCATGGCACGCGATCCGTGATCTACTAACCCCTCTAGTGTCTATAGGCTATAGTTCCATTAGAGTCTTGTTTAGTTGTTTTAGTGCAGGACCTGCAGGTACAGGGTTGGCTAGATGCAGTCATGAATCATGATGCAGAATATAGATTACAACTTTACAATTACAAGACAAAGGAGGGCATGATACTACTACATACATCGGATTTCATTTTTCACCTGAAGCAGATGATGAAAGTGTGTGTGAATGCTTTCGTCATAATGATTAATGTATTATGTAAATTTTGTTTAAATTGTAAATTTTAACAAATACCTCACAATTTTTTTTTCAAATTATTGTAATTTTTTTATTTTATTTTCTATTAATGTAATTTTGTATTTTCAATTTGTAACTATGTTGTATTTTTTATATTTTATTAATTTATTCCATTTTCATATTTCATTCGTCCAAGTATAAAGTATGAAGTATCCAACAATTGTATATTTCATAATTTCAATATTTGTATGCTTTGTAATTTATATCATTATTCATTCAAATTTAAATGAAATAAAATTCCTATTTGAATTATTTTATACTTTTATTTATTTATTTTTAGATAATCCTAAATTCATTATTATTCATATCTTAATATCCATTCAGTCTAGCCCAATTTATGGCTCAGGCCCGTAGCACAGCCCGATACAACCTACTTTACACCTCTAGCCAGTCGTACGTACCGGAGATCTATAATCTCCGGGGACCGTTGTAATTGACGAAGAGAATGACTAAAATTGGAGGGGCCATAGGGTTGGTGTTGGAACTGCGGTTTTTTTGAATTTGAGCTTGAGGATACGAGAGAGAAAAGAAGAGAGAGCAGATGGAGAGGAATATTATGTTTGTTAAGATGATGGCCTGATGGGTTTAGCTGCCATTAACGTTATGTGAAAAAAATATCAGAGAGAGAGGGAACAGAAGAGGATTAATTGAATTTTATGTTTTTTTTTTTTTGAGCCGTTAGGTCTGGACTCCGTTAGTTTGATATGAAAGGGGAGGAGAGCAACGTGTTCAATTCTTGTTGGTTGGGTTTCTGTCCCTAGGGGACAGACGATGCGACTCTGAATAGCTTGAATTACGCCACCAAAATGGAGTTCGGATCGTCTGTCCCCTAGTTCTGTCCCAATCAATGAAATACTGCCACGGCACCTATTTGTTTGAAACTCAAATTTAACAGAGTCCAACTTAAACGGCAGTCCGGACTCCAAAAAGCATTAAATTTTATTAACCGCTCAATTTTATTGAATTCCTCTTTTCTTCTTCCTTCTCACCGCCACTACTACAACCAACCGCCGCCCCTATTCAGCACCGAACCGCTCTCCCCACACAACCCGAATCTCCACCACCATCGGAACTGGCGCTGCTTCTCTTCTCTTCTCATTCCCTCTCTGTTACTCGCAGTTCTTCCAGACAACTGTCGGTGCCGCAGAGATGCCTATACAGCACCCTCTTCTTATTCCCTCTCTATTCTCTTCTTTAGTTCTTCTCACGAATCTCCACCGCCGTCAGAGATGCCTCTGCAACCCAACTAGTTCTACTACCCGGTTTTGCACTAGTATGGAAAGAAAAATTTGCAAGGCGCTCTACTTCTTATGGCTTCTGCACTACTGCTTCTAAGTCTTCAACTCTTGTAAACTGGACTAACAACGTTGGTATCCTGTGTTAGAGCACTTGATTAACCCATCTGAATTTTGGGAGTTCTTATAATTGGCATCTCAACTCTTGTAAGCTTCAGTTCAGCCTTTAATTTTGAGAGAATTAGGCCCTTTCAATGGAAAATATATATCCATTAAT